GGGAGTGGGGAGTGAGTGGGGTCCTGTCAGGGGAGTGGGGAGTGAGTGGGGTCCTGTCAGGGGAGTGGGGACTTGAGAGAATTGACTGGGGACTTGTGAGAGTGAGCAGGGTCCTGTCAGGGAGTGGGGAGTGAGCAGGGTCCTGTCAGGGAGTGGGGAGAGTGAGTGGGGTCCTGTCAGGGGAGTGGGGAGAGTGAGTGGGGTCCTGTCAGGGGAGTGGGGAGTGAGCAGGGTCCTGTCAGGGAGTGGGGAGAGTGAGTGGGGTCCTGTCAGGGAAGTGGGGAGTGAGTGGGGTCCTGTCAGGGGAGTGGGGACTTGAGAGAATGACTGGGGACTTGTGAGAGTGAGCAGGGTCCTGTCAGGGGAGTGGGGAGAGTGAGTGGGGTCCTGTCAGGGGAGTGGGGATTTGTGGGGGTGCCTGGGGGTCCCGAGGGGCCCCTGCAGGCCGGTGGGACTGTGTGTGGCCGTGCCCTGGCAGGTATGGTGAGAAGGGCAAGGCCATCCGCATCGAGAAGGTCATCTACACGGGCAAGGAGGGCAAGAGCTCCCGGGGCTGCCCCATCGCCAAGTGGGTGAGTGCCTCTCGTCCCCTCTGTGCCCCTCGGGGCTCCCCACGTTTGGCCCTGGGGATGGCATGGCCAGAGCCAGCAGCTCCCCCAGACTGCCAAAATCCATGGGAGCATGCCCAGCTCTGCCCTCCACACCCCACGGGGCACTGGGGAAGGCATGCAGGGCATAGCCCACATCCTTCTGCCATAGCCCAGATTCTTCTCCTGTATTACAAATCCTTCTCCTGCAGCCCAGATCCTCCTCCTGCAGCCCAAACCCTTCTCCCGTACCCCTAATTCTTCTCCTGTAGCCCAAATCCTTCTCCTGCAGCCCAAATCCTCCTGTACCCCAAATCCTTCTCCTGTAGCCCAAATCCTCCTGTAGCCCAAACCCTTCTCCTGTAGCCCAAATCCTCCTGTAGCCCAGATCCTTGTCCTGTACCCCAAATCCTCCCATACCCCTAATTCTTCTCCTGTAGCCCAAATCCTCCTGTAGCCCAAACCCTTCTCCCGTACCCCTAATTCTTCTCCTGTACCCCAAATCCTTCTCCTGTAGCCCAAATCCTCCTGTAGCCCAAATTTTTCTCCTGTAGCCCAAATCCTCCTGTA